AAAATGATTAAAAGTGATAAACGCAATTTCCGAGGAAAAAAACAAAATGGCAAAATCTCGAAAATAAACTGTACGAATGGGTTGTGGATCAGAGAAGGCAAGGATTGTCCGTTTCGACACACATGACAATTTGTAAAGCAAAGAGGATTGCATGTGATAATAGTTTAGAAGATTTTACTGGTCATACATTGTGGTGTTATCGGTTCATAAAACGCAAAGGCCTAAGTCTGCATGTGGGTGAAGAATTCGTGGGAAAAAGTAAGAAGTGATGTAGTGATTAAGTCATTTAAGAAATGTTGTATCAGTAACGCAATGGATGGGACCGAGGATGACATTCTCTTTGACCATAATATTGGATCCAATGATTCTTTTCCAAGCGACAGTGAAAGCAATGAAGATTTTGTAGGCTTTGAACCAAACTAAATAACAGTAAACGTTTTTTGATTTACGGTATTTTCTTATTTTGATGTTTTGAGGTCTTTTGTGTTTAGAACAATATATACTAATTTTTAAAGTATCAAATTGAATTTTTGTTCAACAAAAATCTTTCAAATGTAACTGTAGCTTTTTTTCCCCCAAAACTTTGTCTTCAAAATAAGGGTGCGTCTTGTATTCCGAAAAATACGGTATGTTGCGCATTATCAAACATTTGTTCACAACTGCGCAGCGTGAAATAGCGCGTTGGTTTAGACCGTGAATATATCTGGTAAGTTTACAGACGCCAGTGAATGTTATGGTTATACTTAAGAGGAGAATTTTAAACTGTAAATTTGGTTAAAGTTTATTTAACTTTGATTTTCAATTTAATATCTAAGCTGTCACAAAAGAAAAGTGCTTTATCTTAGTATTTACGTAAAAACTCAAGATTAGTTTGGCTTAAAGAAAATGTTTAATGTTAACGTAGCCTATGCCAATATTATAATAATTATTAATATCACTTTCACTGTTTGACGTACCATGTGTATGAACGTATCACTATCAATCTGTGCCCCTGTTCTGTACTTTGTTTTGAAGTAACTCAGTAAGTTTAAAGTAATGAACTGTATGGCCGAGAAGTTTTCTAGATAGTTATTTAAGAACGGCTGATAAAATATTAGACATTTTAATTTGTTTGTGATTTGTGTCAGTTGTTATATTGCAACGTAAATTACACTAATAGTAATACTAATAGCAGTGGTTTATGTAGGCTATGTTTTAATTTGTTGATTTTTTAGATGCAATTTTTTCATGATTTTCGTTCTAATACTAGTACTGGTACAGCTTATTACTAGTAGTAAGCCTGATAAGTATGTACATTTCAGCCCTACTAATAGTTACTTTCTAATTACAATAAATGTTAGTTTTAGATGAAATATTATTTTATTGCCTCTAGTATTAACAATTGAACTCTTAATATTGTGAAGTTTATTTTACTATATTTTCATTGAATAAATGTTGGAAAGGTTTGAAGACAGGCTGTGACATGTTTTTTGCACACGCAGTAACTTCTTTTTCATGATCAAGATTCATCTTTGATTATATAAAGGTTGAGTACACTGTTCTTAAGAGTCCTAATACTTTTATTTCTCCAATCCATCATTTTCATAATATCTGTACAATAGTCTGAGTAGAGTTATCATCTGATGATGGAGACAAAAACTTGTTATTGGTAATCTGGAATTTATATATATATTAATATAATCTTAGGTATGACTAGTCTCACCAGGGTAATAAAAATAATAACCTGTGTGTCTTCTGCACAAATGGCAGAATTCATTATGTTGAAGTTTTAAAAATGGAAGATTTGTTTGCTGTAAACAAGTAAGATAATATCAGTATCAGACTTTTACTGATAGTTTATAAATGAAAAGTATGATGAACAAAATTAGATGGAGGGGCATTTAACTCTTTCAGAAAGATCACATGAATGCTCTGAATGATGTGATATCATGAAGATTGGAAATTATCGTCTGATTCTATGAGTTTGTTATGGGTTATTATATGGACAGTGAACATTAAACATACTGGTGATTTAAATGGCAGAGCAGGGTTTACTTAATTTTTCTTTACAATAAAATTAAATGCAGAGTGGTTGAATTTCTTGGCAATAATAGCAGTGCAAAGAAAAAAGATAAATATTGTGAAACATAAGTTATTTTCAGCAAAAAAAAATGTTTTATTACTCAATATTTCACCTTACGACTTCAGAAGGAGCCTTTCATTGTAAACCTGCCCGGCATGGCCAGGTTGTTAGGGTGCTCGACTCGTAATCTTAGGGTCTCGGGTTCGAATCCCCGTCACACCAAACATGCTCGCCCTTTCAGCTGCAGGCGTGTTATAAAGTGATGGTCAATCCCACTATTCGTTGGTAAAAGAGTAGCCCAAGAGTTGATGGTGGGTGGTGATAACAACTGCCTTCCCTCTAGTCCTACACTGCTAAATTAGGGGCAGATAGCCCTTGTGTAGCTTTGTGTAAAATTCATAACAAACCATTACAAACCTTGAGGCACAAGTAAATAGAACTGAATCATGTAAATAATAGTTTCTTTGGTGGTTATTAGAGAAATTGGTGGAGTAAAAATAGAACTCCAGAACTAGAAAAATGTTTATACCAGGATTTTATAGGATGTCAAAAATCAGATGTGTAACTCTTTTTTTTTTTTCATATTTGGTAGGTCAATAGACAGTAGGCAGGTGTTTAAGGATTGGAAAATTACTAAAGTTACTCATAATTTTAAAGGTGTAATAAGAGTTGCCCTTGAAGTTATAGATTAACTGTCTTACTTCTATAGTGGGAAAATTTTTGAATCTTGTAAATAAAGCTGTAAAATAGCATTTAATGAAATATTAGACACAGTTATGATGTTAAAGTGGAGAAGAAGACTGTTTTGGAAAAAATAATTATCTAAAGCTCCGACCTAAGTGAAATGTGCCTTATAATCAAGTAATCTGTAATTTAATTAAGACGACCATTACATCTGGCTTAAGTCTGGCTAGTATAATAAAAATAATAGTCTCTTTCTTCTACACTAACAGCAGAATTAATTGAAATTTTAGAAATGAAAGATGTGATTGAAGTAAATAAGTAAGATAATATCCATATCAGACTTTTATTGATGGGTTGAATATATGGATGCTTTAAAGCTTATTTCAGTTTCTAAAGTTAAGCCTTCCGATTGTGTTTTTCGTAACGCAATCCCTGTGGATGTTATTTGTCTTTCCTTTTTTGTGTGTGTGAAAAATTATTATATGTTAATTAGTATATAAACTTTTTATATCATTAATTGAAAAGCTTAAAAATAGATTGAGAATTAAATTGTTCTGGTGGCTGAAGATAGAAAACGGTGGCAATTCACCATTTATATAAACAATGTTTTTAGCTATAATGTATGTAGTAGTACAGGGTATATAAAATAACTTTCTGGTAAAATGCAGTTGATGAGGAAGATTTATTTTATTTTGAAGATTTTTGATAGACATAATAAAATACATTTAGACTGTTATATTCATATAGTGGAGAAGAAAAAAAATTGTTGTAACTATAACTAACAGTGTATTGGAATTTGAATAGAGTTGTTTAAACATTTGTTTAACAACAAGTAAAAGCTTGGAATGGTCTATTCTTCCATTGGGGGTGTGTCTTTGAGCCAGACTAGTCTGTGACTCTGGACACTACACCAATAAAACTTCAGACCAAACCAAGCCTTTGTAGTAGTGAGGTATAAAAAATCGAACTAGTGTATTTAAGTGTTTTACACTCGCAAAAAAGAAACCTATCATTCTATAGGCATTTGAAGAACTTGTAGCATTCTGCCACAATTTAGTTCTTTGTATTGTTAGCTTTTACTTGTTGTTAAACAAATGTTTAAACAACTCTATTAAATTATGTACCAGCTGCCCAGTGTCGGCTAACAAT